TATGACGTTACAACTCTTTGAGGATTGACACATACTCCTCAGGTACTCCATTCCTCAACAAGTAGTTCCATAGTGATGTCCTATCGACAGAGTCGAGGGCCGCGCGGGTGTCTAGGAATGTAATGACCGTTGGTCTTTGATAAGCATGACGGTGCTCTAGCAGCGGTCGGACGGTGAAGATTTGATCGATTCATCCACGACCGACGCGAAACCCAGCCTGCTCCTCACGCATAGTGTACAATCGGCGGAGAGTGCCGCACGCCAACAGCTTTGACGCTATCGGCTTAGGCNAGGGGACCTGCTCACTGTTCTAAACTTGAGAGAACAGAACTTGTAGTTCTCTAACAAGCTTTATTCTACCATCTTTAAATGGAGCTGGGGGAAGGCCATCGGAGCCCGGGGCTTTGTGACGTCCAAAGGCTTAGATCCCCTTACGGATTTTCGCCCAGGAAGGTGGGTCTGTTGAGACAAACCATGGTACGTGTGCCAGAATAGCTGTGTGAAAAGCTGACGTTGGTGGCTAGCTAAACTGTGTTTTGAAGTGCTCCACCCAACCTTCAAGACGTCACTGGTGATTGTGAATGGGCGAACCGTCAGCTTCGCAGATCGTTTCGCTTACACCCAGGACTTTCCTACCGGTGACCCGGATCAGATGGAACAGCTTACAGGAATTTCCCATGGCGGCAGCACGTTTCATCTCTGACGCGCGTTGAGTCCCCCAGAACTCGCGGTCTCTGCGTAAGCTTGCGTTGAGGTTATGACTCGTAATTCGTTATGCTCGCCGCCAGTCGGAATTAATCGGAGTGCGTCGAGAAGGCGCAGAGATTCCGCAGAAATTCAGGGTATCAGAGCACGGCGTCAGACCACAATTAGTTGGTTGAGGGACTACCAGCCCGGAGGAAGGGGAAATGGAGATCGCTGGGTACTGAAGACAAAGAATTGAACAAAGGTTAAGAGATATGAACAGTAGCCCACTGATCACTACCCACCCCGCTCGATGAAATGGGCGGCGCGGTCCTGACTATTCTGCAAGACGACCGACGCAATATGGAATTATTTGTAATTTGTGTATGTAATGGGGTTTGATGGACGGGTACTGCCAGGGTGTCCAGGGACGAAGCAGGAGAACGATAAGGGTTCTCGTCCAAAGCCTTTAGCTCTGACAAGAACCTGGCCGCAAGACAGGGGGTGAAGCGAAGTAGAAGCCCAATTTCTTGGATCAATTACTCCGCTACCATTTTACCGACTGAGACGCTAACTCGGGTCGAACCCTCAACCTGGAGGACCAGGAGACTGAACTTCGTTTGACCTCTGTCCACTGACCTTACACTACTACTACTACTACTACTACTACTACTACATTTACTACGTTACAATGATTAGATCTGCGGCTCGACAAAAGTCATCCTGTATAGCTCGTTGGGTCACAGAGGTACACAAGCCATCACACCACGTCAAGGTGCACTCTCGTCGTGATGGCAGACTGAACTTCGCCTGACCTCTACCTATTGACCTGCCAGGAATGATAAGATCGCATGGATGGTGGTGGTAGAGCGGTTTAATCGCTATCACCGGTGCGCTTTGGATCCTATGGTTCGAGTTTCGATCCCGCAACCATCACCCAATTTCGGAGGTAGATAGCTTTGCAGTCATCTGGTTCAATAACAAACCTAACTAAGCGGGGTCTTACGTGGTTCGTCACTCGGGGCGTCAGTTAACGATTCCCATCAATAAACAGCAAGTCCTCGAGATTATGGGTTTTTTCTTCCTCTGCTTTTCATCACACAAATGTGTGTAATAACACCCCTTGTTTGCATAAATTCGTAAGAAGCAGAATAACTCCTTTTCCACAAACGATCATTTCAGTTTCAGTTTAAACAACCAATAGGCATGCACCATCGTGTGCCGGTTTTGGTTCCTGCCTTTTGGCTGTTCATTTGGATGAACAATAGAAGGAAAACAGAAAGGTTGAAAGTAGGATTGAAGAGAAAATTGAAAAGTTCAGTGGACTAATGATGCGCAGAAAATGAGAAAATGCACGAACGCCATTGTTTACGACACCCAGCCATATCATTCGGTGTCTCTAACCGTTGATTGCCTTGATCCCGAGGTCCCCATCCAGGGAGCCTAACGGGACCTATGTGACCCAGACTCGTGGTTTGAGTTTTCAAACCCTCGTGACAGGTCTTGAGTTAACCACTCTGGGCTTTCTTCCACCCACTACCTGCCTTGCCAAACATCACCCGTCGTGGCAACCGATTTGGTGACATTCGTAATAAATGCCCCAGCACACGTAGTCTGTGGACGTCGACCGTTTGCTCCAGTGGGCGGCCGCTGTTACCTAAAACTCTGCGCCTAACCTTAGTAATGCTCGTCTGGTTGCCCCACCAGATTCGTGCAATGCTGTGTAAACAGCGGTGTTCGAACACCGACAGTCTGTCTTTGTCCTGTTTTCTTAGTGCCCAAGTTTCTGCTCCATATAGCAGGACTGGTCGAACTGCTGCAGCATATAATCGACTCTTAACAGAGCCGGATGTCGCGACGACGCCAAAGATGTCTGAAGTTGGCAAATGCCAACCAAGCCTTCTGTATGCGAGCTGACACTTTATCTGTGATGCGTCCACCGGGTGAGATATAGCTCCCCAAATAACTCTATTACTTTCTCAGTTAGAGCGAGGCTGAGTGCTGGACCAACCAGTCTTGTAGTAACATTTTACACTTTGAAGGTTCAAAATGTATACCGAACATGGCTACACACACGATTGTAAGATGCTCAGAAGAAAAATGAAACTTGTCATATGCATTCTTCGAATGACTACCATAACTACGTATAAAGAACCGTATAAAGCCTTGGCGGAGTTGATGTGGCATCACGCCTTTTGAAAGCAGAGCTGATCCATACTACAGGACTGGAAGGTTGGGTGAAGTTAATCCTCAGATTTCAGATACGAAGAAAAACTAAGATCGATCAAACCCCGGCGTCGAGTTTACGCTCGAAGTCACGGAAGTCTCAAGCAATGTCATCCGTGATTCGCCCTAGGCAACCATGACTTACAAAAACAATAGCACACAATACAAATATTGAAAACCTCCAGAATAATGGAAAGCGGAATCACATACAGGGTTGTTTAAAGTTGGTCATAGAATTCCTCAGTTATGCGAACGAAACTAAAACAAGATATTATTTTATTTACAGAAATACCTACCCCACAAAGAGTTTATAAAACCAAACACGTTTTAATTTATTGTCTGCAACCAGCACCACTTACTGTCTGATGAAATCTCCTTGCCAAGAAGAATTGCAGTCGGGGACTTTGAGGCACGTCGCGGCTACTGCTTTCATGATGATATCGTTTAGTGTGACCTTCGCATTTTCAGCCTCCTCCTTCGATGCGGCTGACTTCGTTAGGCGAGTGTTAATTTGGTCACGCAGTTCGAACAGTTCATCCACTTCGATATCCGTAGTTAAATAATAGTGCGGTACAGTGCGTTGTGATTCTGTTAATCGCCGGCCGAGGGCCTGTAAAGTCGATGTGACACATTGGATTGTGATTTGCATCGAATAATGATGCCAACTTGAGTGGAATAGTAACTGTTAGGAGAATAATATACTACCTTAATGTATGGGAAAATCCTTTTATAATATCTAAAACAAGCAGTACATAAAGGAGTAAATCATGCTAATAGGGCTAATGGTATATGAATTACCGACGAATATGTTCTCCCCATGTTCGCTATGAAAATTAGTGTTAATTAGGGTCTCCTCTGTCCACTTTTTTAAAATACGAAACACTCTTATGTGTAAACTATTTGACAGAATACATAAAACTTATGGGTTCATTCCTTGTGGAATTACACCTTTCTAACTGCCAGTAAATCCGTGGAAACTAACTGAATCAGCGAAACACGTTTTACCGGAAATCCCATAAGGGGACAGGTGTTTCGGTCGCCGCCCATTGCTCCTTGATCTAGGGCTATCACAAATTTCGTTGGGGCAGAATGGATTGATTTCTCCATGATCAAACAAACTTTATTGGTCAGGTACCGAGCGAGTATTGGCGTTTCAGTGGGGTATTGCGAATGTTCGTCCCCTCGAGAAAGCTGACTTTGACCACAGGCGACAATTATTGAGTCCAACGGTAACTGACCTCGATCGAGCATTATGCTAAAGCGTAAATGTTGGCATGAATTGTTGAGTGAGTGATTTAAACCACCAACAACCTAGTGAGTAAATTCCATTGAGACCGAGTTTTTCTCGCAGTTTAAAGGATCAGAGATTGCGCTCAGTTCTGTTGCCTTGAAAATGTTACTTCAACACTAAATGCTTTAGAAAGGGATATGAAGCTTTTAGAGTATTACGCTTGGATTAGCCCATTCGATTGTTCAGAGGCACCAGGCACCGGGATATGAGGCTTCTTCCTATTCTCCCACCAAGGAATCTTAGAAGTAACATCGCTATAGAAGAGGACTTTGACATGGTTGGCAGTTCTTGCACTGTTTGCCATCTGCGTATCAAGTGTACCCATAATCACAAACTTTTCCATACCTCATTCGTTTATTGACTAGAGCTATCATGTTCACCTTGCTGACCAGTGATCCATCTCCAAAGGACACTCGCATTTTGGAACTTTTGTAGTACTTCTGTCCNTAAGAGCTCCACAGCCGAGTGTGCGTGTCTTGGGTGGGTCGTGACCGGTCAAAATCTAACCTAGTATTATTACACACCTAAGTGTGACGTACAGCAGACGGGGCGAACCCCATAGTCACGAGGATCTGCTGTTAAGTGGTGGAAACCGGCAACCTAAGCCCCGGGGCTTGGAGTGGCTAACCACATAAGGCCCTGATAGGTTAGGCGTTGTATTAAACTGGACGACAGCAGAGCTGCCTACCACGGAGACGGTGACGGGGTTAGAACCTCGGATCACAGGGTCCAAAGCACGCCGGTGATAGCGACTAAGCCACTGCGCCACCACCAACATACACAGTCCAGCTGTGAATACACTGGTTCAAGCATTCTAATCGGATAAGTGACAGTAAGAACACCACTGCTGTCCGTTTGCTGCTATGACCTTCCGTGTCTCCAATCAATCAGTTTTGGATTCCAAACCGAAAGATGAAAAATACCTACTCTCCACGTCATCTGCCGGCCTGCTGGCTTTTGCCAGTTTGGGACGACCAATGTAATGTAAATAAGGCGCGCTGCGGTGGGCGATCGTTAGGAATACACAAAGCATGTCCTAACCAACGGAGCCCATTGAGCTGAATTCGGTGCGACAGCGAGTTCTTGTTCGATGAATTACCGAACGTCCGACGACTTACATCCAAGTTAACCCATTCACTCCGTTTTCTCTGGGTCACACTACGTAAGCATCGATTGTCGAAAACCACTAGGTGATGGGTGCCTTCCAACTTCAAAACCTCACAACCGTAAAGATTATTGTACCGCGATTTGTTTAGCACACAGTCTGGCCTCAGATGTGTGTGAAACACAACATATATGCTGATCATGCAAAGCCGCAGTATACACGACTTTTAAACCTCAATGAAACGTCACGTCATCGCTACTGATGTTTTCGTCCGGCGTGCGCTGCTCGATGCTTGGAAATTCGGGCGGTTACCTCCATTGCTGCGCTACCGTCACTGGTCTCGAAACTACCCAAGTAGGAAAAGCAATTCACTGTAGCTAATTCATGGTCATTTATTTTCAAAGCGGGAGTAGGCGATACCCAATCTTGCAGCGTCACTTTGCACTTTGAAGGTGCAAGGCAGTGTGCGTCTTTCATACATTTGAACAGATAGACGATGTCATCTGCGTACTTTAAATCGCACAGCTTTACTCCAACTGCCCATTCTATACATTTCAGAGACCACTTAGCGCGGTCTCTAAGGCGAAATTGAACAGAAATGGCGAAACAGGGCACTCTTGACGAACATCATTTCTAGTTCCGAAAGATCAACTCAGCTCACCGGAGACCCTTAAACGACCAGGAGTATGCGAGTACAGTGACCTCAGTAAGCTAATGTACTTCTGAGGCACTCTTTTTCGAAGGGAACCCATCAGAGCTTTGCGGTCAACTGAGTCGAAGGCTCCTTTCAGGTTAAAAAGCAGTGTAGACGGTGGGTGTGACGCAACTCAAGGACCTAACGGAACATTAAACTTGGGTCAATGCATCCACGGCCAGGCCCGCATCCCGCTTGCTGTTCACAGATGTCAGTCCCTCTTGAAGGAATCAGCGATCAAGCCACTGTTCTCCATTGTGAATAGCTTGTCCCCTTTTATGGCAGATTGCTTCACCAACTGGTGTTCGCCGACCTTCCATCTTGCGTAACGGCTGGAACAGTATTTGACTATTCTGTGATGCAGCTGCTACTTCCGGTTTACCGGCTATTGTTGCCCATTTTTCAGTCCTTGAGGTTCGTCCTGACCTAACGTTCCAGACGCCACCTAACACTGTTTTGATCCGGGAAGGTTGAGATTCCGCAATTCTTTTCCATCAAGGCTGCTGACTTATCAGATATCCAATGCCTCCGACGAGTTGTAGACTCATACCCAGTACCCTAGACGTTTGACCTCGTTTAGAGGGCATGGTCCAACGAACTAGATACCGCTCCCCAATGGATTGTAGTTCGCATACACCGCTCCGCTGCCTAGTGAGTCAGGCCTTGACTCGTCGAAGTTTTCGGTTGTGCAACCTTTAGGAACATTCACCTGCACTGGCATATGCAGCCTGGCAGTACACCGACCACGAACAAACCATGGGCTGATTTCTTTGTTGGTTGAGTTCCTGGCCCATCATCTGAACTCAGATAAGTGTGAAATATATTATTATTATTATTTTCTTTTTATAAGAATCACGTATAACTAGCACTGATTAACTGATAATCATTATAGATACCGGTGTTTAGGAGTGTGGAATTATGTTTCGAACTCTGCCACGCTGGACAGCAGTATCTGATATTTAAAATAACAGCATATTTGATCCGAAATCGTACCAGAAATGGTTCGAATACAAACGCCACGTGCAAACAACCGTGAAAATGCATATAAATGGAACGGTTTCTGAATAAAGTTCACAAGTAAATCATATTTCCATGTGCAGATAGGCGGTTAACTAGATAGATTACACTGTATTTACACAACAATTGATGCCTCAAATGACTACAGATGAAAGAACATACCGCACGAGCAGGTGAAATCGGCAAATCTCTGGAGGCGGCACCTGAAGGGAACGCTGCGCCGATAGCTGCACCAGGCTTTACACCCGCCAGATCAGCAGCGCACAGCATACCACCCATACCGGTACCTGGTTTACTGGCAGCTACCGCGGCTAGGTCAAGACCTTGTTCAGTGGCTAATCGCCGAGCCAGTGGTGAAGCGAAAACACGTTGCCCAGGAGCAGTCGGACAGGCTGTCGGTGGTGGTGCTGCAGTCGGGGGAGGTGAAGGA